AGAATCTGCATTTCTTAAGTGTCCCCAAGGGATGAAAGCACACGTTATATTTTGAGAAACACGTGTCTAGTGACTAATAATATGCTACCAGCCTAACTGCATCTGAAATTGATAATTTCTAGGTGTCAATTGCTGAATCCTCAAAATGTGCTCATTACAGGCCACATTTTATTTTTTAATTTTATTTTATTCTATTCTATTCTATTTTATTGATTTCAGGGAGACAGGGAGAAGAAGAGAGAGACAGAAACATCAATGAGAGTGAATCATTGACGGGCTGCCTCCTCCTGCATGCCCCACACTGGGGATGGAGCCCACAGCTGGAGCATGTGTTGTGACAAAGAATCAAACCGTGATCTCCTAGTTCATAGGTCAACGCTCAACCACTGAGCTATGGTGGCTGTGCCAGTACCAGGGTTTAAATATGTAATCTTACTTGACCATGAAAATAATCCTGTGAGGCAACCGGGATCATCTCCGTGTTCAGAAGGAGCACACTGGGGATCAAATGGAGAAACCATCTACGGCTCAAAGTGCCCCGAGGACACTAATCTGTCTGACCACACACCATTTTGTCAAACTACACCAATTCCCTTCAGTTCCAAAATTTACATTTCCAAGGATATGTTGGCAGAACTAATTACTCTGGTTGACTGCACTTTTAATCAACTTAAGGTAACAAAAGCTACGAATATTCTACCCCAAAAACCACATACTCACCAAAACATACAGAATGTAGCACCCAGCACCAAGATAAAACAACCCACTCTGTCATGAGGACATACACCTGCCTGATATGCCTGTCCAGGCCTCTCCCTTCTCTTCAAGAACAGTTGGGGAACTGTTCTTGCCCCAACTCCATCAGGCAGAAGCTGCCACCTTTTCACCACTGCGCAGTCTCAGGGGGTGGCCGAGAATGACCGAAGTCAACCCAGGCGAAATCCTTCCATGGGATTTTTATAACAGAACCAGAGACAAAGTCCCCTTTGGGGGCAGAAAGTACCAAATGTAATTCAGGAACCATCAGTTCCCTGCCCTGTTAGCTGTGAGAAAGAATTAAGCCAAAAGGACAGAAAGTCCTGGCTGGGTAGCTCAGTTGGTTAGAGCATCCAGGCGACAAGCCAAGATTATCAGTTCGATCCCCAGCCAGGCATGCAGGCACATACAAGAGTCAACTAATGAATGCATAAACAAGTGGAAAACAAAACTTGATGTTCTCCCTCTCTCTCTTTCCCCATTTCTAAGGACAGAAATGTCCCAACAGCACTCAAGCACTGGTTCCCATGGATCTGGAGGCTCAGCAGCATTCCTGTCCTTCTCCTGGTTTGATTACTAATCCCTCACCTCCCCAGATAGGCCTCCAAAACTCCCAAATAGCTTAAATTTTTGCCTAAATTCATTTGTGTTTCTATGGCTTGCAGCCAAAAGACTCTAATATTAATTACAGCTACTTCTAAATACTACATTTGTTTTAAAAAAGTTTTATACCCTTCAAAATTTTTCTATATTGATAATGTCTTCCCCTAGATATTTAAATAGGTTTTTAAATATAATTTCTAAAAGGCTCACATTTCACTCTGCATAAATATCCTTTAGAATATGTTTAAAACAAGTCTTAGCTCAGATCAGTCTTCATGCTCCACACACTATTAAAATATAATTTTAAGAAGCTGTCTGATCCTTTTTAGTTTAATTCCAAATATAATAAGACAAAATTGCCTTCTTAAATTGTCTTTTCCTTAATGTATTCAATTATATTCTCTGCTTAAAATACTTAAAAATTGGCAGTGATCCATTCACTGATGGGTATTTTAAATTGGAAAGCAGTAACATATCAAATTAACCACACAAAGTCAGTATTATTCTGATTGAGAATTATAGCCACAATGGATTTGAAAATTCCTACCTTGGTTGCAAATTTTTTACATTTCAATCAAGCAGACTTTGACTTAATAGACTGCAATGTAGTCCAACTACAGTCAATCCAACAAGCTCTTAGTTCACACATCTCTCCCGTCACTACCGATTTCCTTCCCTCTAGTCATGGCCTTGAAAATTTCCTGAATGCTGTTGCAAGGTTCTAAGAGCAATGACTCTTGTATCATATATCATTATTATCCCTAGTCTGTGCATCCTAATATATAATGCTTTAATCCTAGTAGACACCAAAAAATAGTTGAATTTTGAAGTTGGAAAAAAACTTGGAAATCACCCACTTCAATCATCTTACTTCACAGATGCAAACATTGATGCAAAAATTAGTCAACATTCCTAAGGTCAACAGAATTAGAGAAGTAGTACACAGACTCAATGAGCAATTCCCACAGTATGCACATGTTCTCAACTCCTGAGAAGATGCACACGTGATAAAATACATATACAATTCTCCTTTACGATTCCAAAAGTATGGCTATTTCTAAATGTCCTTATGACAAGTCCAAATGAATTTTAAAAGCATAAAATTGCTCTATTGCTGGCAACCCTATTCTACTAATCTGATCACATGAGAAATGTAGGAAAAGACTCTGGATTTGAATGGTCTGTTCCTTCTCAGCTGTGCTTTCTCAAATATCCCATTCAGATACAACACTGTGCTTGCTCCTTAATAATCCTGACCTATTTATTTTCATATTATATCATGGACTTTGGCACACACAAGGTCATATAAAAATATTTACCTAACATTAAACTCTGTTGCCTAAACGAAAATGCACCAGAAAGACATGGCATCTAAATGCTTAGATTTCATTATTATATACACTTCATTTCTTTTTGTTCAAAAACAACAAAGAAAATAGATGTTTTGAAAAAGAAGGCTGTGAAATAAACTTTTCTTATGCCAGCTGAATGCCCTCAAAAATACTTGGACAAAAATATGAGTGTATGAGTGGCTTTTTTAGCAATCTTTGCAGGGCGATTGGTGTTTTTTTTGTTCTTACTATGCATTTGCTGAATGAATAACATGGTTGCATTACATGCTATGGAAACTTGACTCTGGATGACTAATTTTAGAACTAACTTTTCTTGAAAGCAAAAAGTAATTAAATAACACAAAATGCACTATCTGCAAATCATACTTTTATAAGCCTTAAGAAGTTTCAAAGTATTTCCAAATAGCAAAAAACTAAAACAAATGTAGCAATTCATAAAGTAGCAACATAAGTGGTTACAGTAAAACATGCACAATTTAAGATTTTTTAAAGTATAATAAGCTGGAATTCAGACTAATTCCCAGAGGTCACACTCTGTTTTAACAGCACATTGTTGACACTAATTTACTAGATTAAACCCTCAGACATAGCACTCTCCTAAACAAAGTATCTTCTCCGAAGAAGATAAAATCACCCCTAAATATGGAACTAACATTATATTTTTTAAAGAAACTAACAAATAATTTAAAAATTATTAACAGAATTAAACCTAACTCTTAAGTTGCAGACATAGGAAACATTTCATTTTATTTACTGTGATAAAACTTAATGTATGCTGTTGTGAAACTTAACATTTCTAATTGCTTTAAAAAAAAAAAAAAAGTTCTCCGTAAGTTAAAATAAACTTCAATGAACCAGGCATTAGGCTGATAGAAGTAATCATTTCTCAGCCTTCTTAAAAACAGTCACTCCATGCAAACACAGCCAATCTGATGCTGCTTCAACTTTTCCCCAGCGTGGAAAAGAAAAGTACAAATACAGTGCTTTTGAGCCATTTTAAACAACTTCATTAAATTCAGAATTTTCTCTTAAAAATCAACACGGTTTCCTGTCATTGCCATTACGCTGAGAAGGGCACACAGGCATACATCGGAATCAGACGTAAGGAAAGCAAGCTTACACTTTCGCCCAGATGCTAACTGACCGCAAAGGGTAAGGTCACGGTCAAAATTCACAGGCTCACTTAAACTTTCATGGCTCAGCCAACAGCTCCGCTCGTGTTTCCTGATCCTAAGGAGATTAACACTGCAGGAGTCCCTGGCTATTGAGATCAGCAGGAGGCTATTTCAAACCCTCAACCTGCAGTGCGCAGAGCCCGCAGCGGCGCATCTTCCACCACCTCCGGCTGTCCGTTAAGCTAACCTCTCCCAGCCGCTCTTCTTTCAAAGAAACCCCAAACGCGTGCATTCGACTCAAGCCAGCCTTCCCTCGCGCCCGCCGAGACCCCCTCCCTCCTGCGGCCATCCCCAGGCCGCCTTCCCTTCCGCAGCGGTGACTCCGGCCTGGCTCCCAGGGTGGGGGAGGGTGGGGAGGACCTGGAGGAAGGATGCCTCCCCGCGGAACGCTGCTCAGCCCGCACAGCGGCACCGCAGCAGGGCGCTGCGGGAGAGATGCTAACCCCCCCACCCCCCACCCCTGGGCCACATTCCATTGGCTTTTCCTTTGTCAAAAAAGAATCCTTATCTTCAATTACATAGTTTTCAAGAGAGATTGGGGGGAAAGGACCTAAGCATTAAAGCTGCTGTCCAGATCTCCCCGACCTCCAGTGTTCTCACCCCGTCACCCCGCGGGGAGGCTCCGGACCTCCTACCCGGGACAGGTACACCTGCCGGCCGCCGGGCACCGCGCATCCCCGCCGCGCTCCGCGGGAGAGCGCGCCGGCCCGGCCCCCGGCCCCCGGCCCCCGGCCCCACAGCCCCGCCGAGGCTGACAGCCCCGCGAGCCGCGCCCGCGCAAACTTCCCAGCTCCCAGGCTGCGGGGACAGGACGGGATGACACGGTGCAGTCCGCAGAGCTCAAATGCACAAGGGATTCCCCCACATCCTGCATCCGGCCGGACCTGGGTCCCAGGGAGGTCCCAGGGGCGCGCGGGCGGCCCGGTGGAGCGGGCGTGCGCCCGAGGATGGGGGCGCCGCGGCAGGAGGGCAGCCCCGGAGCGCGAGCAACCGGAGGGCCACGGCCCCGCTCGAGCTCCACGCCTGGCAGCAGCTGCAGGAGGAGGGGAGCGAGGAGGAAGAGGAGAAAGAGGAGGAGGAGGAGAGAGACCGCAGCCGCAGCCCGAGCCCTTACCGAGTGGTTCACCCCCCACATCAGGACGCTGAGCAGCGGATCGCTGGCCCGAAACAGCTTCACTTTTTGCGCGACGAAGTGCTTCTTCTTCGTCTTGGTCTTGCTTGCCAGCACGGACCCCAGGTTGCCGGGGGTCGCCATGGCCGCCGCTTCGGTCCCCTCCACCGTCGCGCTCCCAAGGCCGGGGACCCGCCCTCTCTACTCGCCGGCCCGGGGAGGCAGCCGCATCCCACCGCGGGGGGCCCCCGCGCGCCGCGCCCCGCTCGCCCGCTCCGCCCGCTCGGCCCGCCCGGCGCGGCTGGGGAGGAGGCTGCGCTCCGCTCGCGCCCGGCCGGGACCGTGCGCCCGCGGCTCCGCGCTCTGCCCGCGGCTGGACCCGGCGCGCCGCGAGGGCTTCCGCGTTGGGCGCCGCGTCATGACGCAGGGGGCGGGCCGGGCTGCTGCGGCGCCGCCGGGCGGGGCGCGGGTGCGGCCGCGGGACCGTTAAGCGGAGCCTCCCTCTTCGGGTCCACCGCCCGGCCCGGCCCTGCGCGCACCGAGCGCGGGGAGGCCGCGGGATCGGCGTGCAGCGCGCGGGGGCGTTGCGGGGGGAGGACTCCCGCAAGGCATTCCCTTTAGCTCCCCAGGGAAAGATGGGGAGTAAGGGGGCGTCGGAAGCGAGGAGGCCCCAGAGGCGGAGGTCGGGAGAAGGAAGGAGGCTCATAGAATCGCCGCTTGTCGGTGCCAAGACTCAGGAGAGCTAGTGAGACCTGAAATGCTGCCTGCAGGCCAGCGCTTTCCCGGGAAAGGACTTGGGAACGTCGTTGGCTGCCTCCCCAAGTGGCCCTGGAATGAACTTCTGAATCCCTTTGTGTCTTTCACCATCTGGCCTTTGGGGCCTTGGGCTTGGGCCTTTCCCACACTTTCCGATTCATGCTGAAGGGAGACTCTCACCTCACAGCCTGAGCTGTCATTCCCACCACCAGTCCCTCCCCGGACAGGACCCGGATTCCTTGGTTTGGCTAGAAAAAAATGATGCCCTATCCTGGACCTTCTACTTCAAATCCTCCACCAGGTTCCTGACATCCCTTCCTTTTTTTTCCATTCCATGCACCTACTTCCACAGAAATCTATTTATTGTCTTCATCCATGTACACTTTGATTTAGCCCTTCTTAATGCTGGCAATACTTGGCCCATCTCAGGAAAGCTGCCAAAGCCATCCCATTCTATGTATTTACCCTGACTCAGCCCATTGGGCAAGCATGTTTACCCATTATCATTCTTCCTCCATCCAAATATAGTGGAGACCTACTGCGTGTCTGATAACCTGCTTAGTTCTGTCATGGAGACAGACCTTTATCCCTTAAGGACCTTATTCTCAGGGGGTAGGGAGTCAAAGGTCAAGTAGTCACCTTCATTTGCTCTTCTTTTTTCTTTGTCCTTAAAACAAAAGGGTTGTCCCAAAGTCCTCTTGTTCTTTCCCAATTCATAGTATTGTCCAAAACGATGTCTGCTCCCCACAAAGTCAACCATCGCCACTCTTAGAAGTTAAAAAATAAAAATTACAAAACCTACATTTGTAGGGAGAAAATGGGGTTGTACAGTTCTTCCACTTATTTGAACAAATCAGTTAAGCTCTCTGAGCTGCAGGTTTTGTTAACAGCAGGGACAGTCAGACACTGATGCCACTGTAGGGATTATTCTGGGCCTGGTCATTATAATTCTGCCCTGCCTACTTTATAGGATGTTTGTTAGAATCAAAGTTATCAGTAGACAATCAATTTATAAATAATACAGCACTACATACAAACAAGATAAATGTGGAGTACTTGTTGGTGACCCATACATTCTCTCCTTGGAAGTGCCTGGTTGAACATCTCTACAGTTATTCACAAGCACCGTTAAAAAGTGCCTAAAATCAAGTTCAAAATCCTTCTCCACCCCCTGTTGCTTTACTTTTCTACTATCTTAGAAATGACATTCATATCACTGAGATACTTCAACCAGAAGTTCATTTATTTAACTAATTTTCATAGGCCCAGGCCTAAAAATTTTGAAACATCATTGATTACACCTCTCATTATCACTGCACATGAACCCCTCTACCAGGTCCTGCCCTTGAAAACAATTGTGCTCAAATATTACCTCTTCCCTGCTGCTTAGTTGAAATTGATCAGTTCACCTCAGTGTTTCCATAGCACTTTATTTGTTCTATAGAGGCCCGGTGCCCGAAATTCATGCAGTGCAACTGGGGTGGGGGGAGGTAAGAGGGTGATGGGGGTGGAGGGGCCCTCAGCCCAACCTATACCCTCTTGTAATCTGGGACAGCTGGCTTCTAATCGCTCACCTGCCTGCCTGCCTTATCATCCCTAACCACTCTGCCAGCCTGCCTGATTGCCCCTAACCACTCTGCCTGCCTGCCTGATCACCTCTAACTGCCTCTGCCTGAGCCTCCACCACTGTGGCTTTGTCCAGAAGGATGTCCAAAAGACCTCTGGTCTATCCGGTCTAATTAGCATATTACACTTTTATTAGTATAGATAACAGTTCTATTGTACTTTATATGTTAATCATGCAAGACAATGGGCTTGCTATGAATGGTAAAAAACTAAATTTAGGGATGACAAAGTGTTGACTGAACCTACGGGAAAGGGTGATGGACTGTCAGGTGAGGTTTCACATAGAAGAGCAGGAAGCTGTGGATGGGTGAATAAGGTGTCATGTCAGTTTAGAGTAGATAGAGGCATAGGCATGAAGATGAAAATCCATGTGATATTCAGTTGCGGAAACATGTGGCTTTTAAAGGTAGACTTTTCCCCTAGCAGTATTGAGATATAATTTACATTTAAGTTTGGGTAAGTTAAAGGTGTAACTTGGTTATTTGATGATGTCTAGAGTGTGAAATGATTACCACAATAAGGTTAGTTAATACCTCCATCACACATAATTCCCACCTGTGTGTGTAGGTGAGTGTGTTCCTGTGTCATGAGAACATTTAAGACTTACTCTCTTAGCAACTTTCAAGAATATAATACAGTATCCTTAAGGGACAGAATTTTTGGTGGTTTAACTTGTTTTGAATGACATTTAATATAATAGGTCATTAAATGATTTTGCTAATTACCTTTCACACTAACTTTGTATTCTGCACAGGGTGTGTATGATGCAGGATTGCTAGAGTCACAAAAATGATCTCAGAAAGTACCTAATCCAGTTCTCAAATTATATACATAAGACAAGTGAGATCTAGAGAAATTTAAATGATTTCCTGACTTGTTAGTAGGAGATAAACTCTGAAAAGGCAGGATCCATTTTATACTGACTTTCCATCTGCCCGTGAACCTATCATACTCCCTTCCCCATAGCAAAGTTTTTGTGGCAAAGTTTTGATAAATGAAATAAAAAAGGAGACCCTGGTCGCATAGCTTAATTGATTGGAGCATTGTTAGAATACGCCAAGGTTTCAGGCTCCATCTCCTGTCAGGGCACTAGTATAAGAGTCAACCAATGAATGCAAAAATAAGTGGAAGAACAAATTGGTATTTCTCTCTCCCCCCTCCCACCTTTCCCATCCCTTTCTAAAAATAAATTTTTAAAAATAAAAATAAAACCACCAAACTTTTTTTTAAGAGAAAGAAAAAAAAAGGGGGGGGGAATTTTTCTCTCATACAACGAAGTTACAAATAAAGATTCCACACCAGGACATGCTTGTACAAAGTTCCATTCAAAAACCCTATACTGAGAAATTAAGTTGGGTTAGACTTAATATTTAAACTTGAGGGTCAAATCCTATGTGGATTTAGCAACCTAGCAGTTTGATCACTGTTTTCCTTTGGAGTTTGTATGATAATAAAACAATGCACATGCCTTAGCTCAGTGCCTGACTCAGGCTCCTTATGTTGTCAATGGTTGAGGCACTCCAACCACCAGCATTCAACAAGGGTCTTGACCGGAGGCCTGGTTGGAGGAAGAAAAGCCAGGAAGTCCCATTTCAGGATGAGCAAGTAGCCATGCCAAGCAAGAAGAGTGCTGGGCCGGCCCTTTTCATCCGGCCAGTGGGGCGCTCATCCAGGTGTCAGAGAGCCATATCGGAGGCAGGAAATGCCCCCACAGCCAAATTCACGAGGGAGGAGGAAGTAATGTTGGCAAGATTGAAAGGTTTCCCATACTGATTTGTTTCTGTTTGAGGTCACTTTTTTTTTTTTTTTTTTTTTTTTTTTTTACTTTCTTTTACTGTAACCAACTTTATTTACTATCCTAGAAGGATGTGGTAAAAGTGTTATGTTGACTAAAGTATGCAGTTCCAGAAATGGATGTCAAAATAGGGTGGATTCCCTGTTTTGTTTTTAGTTTTCTTTCCATTAAAAAAAAAAAAAATCTTCAATTGAATAATTCCAATTAGAATTCTTCCTTGAGAAGAGGAATTCAGTAATCTTCTTAGTGCTGTTTGGAAGCTCTTGTGCTTTTCATTGTTCTGTGAGGAGATCAGAGCAAGATGTGGGGAATTCAGTCTTTCATAGTATTTCCAGAGCCTTGCCTCGAAAATGGTATTGTAGAAGACTAATAATATTAAAGTGCATTTACAATCAAAATGCAATAAATGGGATCCAAGAATTCCAACTGTGACATGTGAGTTACTTTTGGGGGCAGTGGACTTAGTAGACATTCTGGAGCACAGCTTGCCATCTGGGAGTTCTGAGGGTCTGTGCTGTCCAAACCCCTCCTGGAGAGGCTGGTAGGGGTTATCCACTCATCTGAAACATTGATGATAATTCTTTTGGCTTCTGCAGTTGGCTGGGACCTCCAGGACAGTGGCAGCAATCCAAGAACCTACCACTTAGTTGGCAGCTATTTTGTTGGCCTGACTTGGGGAGATCAGACTGGGAGAGGAATGGGAGTAAAGCAGCTCACACAGGGTGACCATGTCCCAGCTGCCCGCCTTCCCCTCCACTGCCCACACAGAGGATGAGAATGTTAGCAGCTCCCTTGGAAGACAGGAAGCTGAGTCAATCTCCATGGGATCATATGTTTATAAAGATATATATATATATATATATATATATATATATATATATATATATATATATCTTTATAATAGAAACTAGAGGCCTGGTCATGAAATTCATGCGGAGGGGGGGCACTCAACCAGCCTGCACCCTCT